TGCGGGGACGGCTCCCCAGCCCCCGCCTGAGCCGCCCCTTCCCCCAGGTACACTGGACATTACTTCATAACCACGCTGCTCTACTCGTTTTTCCTGGGGTGCTTCGGCGTGGATCGGTTCTGCCTGGGCCACACCGGGACCGCCGTGGGGAAGCTGCTGACGCTGGGAGGACTGGGGAGCTGGTGGGTTGGGGACCTGAAAGGACTGGGGATCTGGTGGTTTGTGGACCTGATCCTCCTCATCACCGGAGGGCTGATGCCCAGCGACGGCAGCAACTGGTGCACGGTGTACTGAGGGGGGCAGAGCTGGCCCCAAAGAGGCTGCCGGGGCTGGAGCTGGACCCCTCCGCTCGTCCCACAGCACCAGGACAGACTTCTGCCTTGCACAGACATGGACTTACCCCGCTGTAACTCAACACGCAGAACAATTATTCTTGTCAGTTCCTCTGTACAAACCTTGGACGCGAAATTGTTCAGTATATATTTTGCTTGTTTAGAATAATCTGGATTTCCCCCCCCCCATTCTTCAAGCGGTCACTGTTTAAGAAATCAGGCCTTGCAGACGGAGGTGCTCAAACAAATCTTAATAAAGCCTGGGAGGAGCTGACTGCACGAAGTTTCAATATCAGTAGAGTGCACGCAGCCCTGCAGAGACGCGGCCCGCTCGCAGGTGGTTTTGTGTTGCTAGGCTTTGTAAACCTCTACGGTTGAGTAACCTAACACAAAGCTGCAGAGACTGGCAAAGGGATGACCTCTAATTCTACATTGTTTGTTTAAAACCACGTTCACTGGCTGCGCAGGAAGCTGGGTCAGATTGAGCAGAACCTGCACCCTTTGGAGAACATCACTGTCCGCTTGCAGGCGGGCACGGCCGCAGCGCAGCAAATGAGGCCCCTGTTCAGGCCTCTCCAAAGGACTTGTGTCCATTGGTGCAACTCTCCCCGCCATGTGCCATTCTAGAAACATCTGTAGGACTCTGCAGCCACCCCAAAGTGGTACCCGTGTTATTTTAAAAGCTCCTGTTTCTCCTCCTGTCCTCTCCTTTTCATAGTAAAGTGCTTCTCAAAGCATACCCACATCACAGCAGCAGGTTGCATGCCCTTTCCCTGCTGCTGGACGGTCGTATTCTTTATAACCATGCAGTGGCAGCCGCTTGTGTTTCACAAACCTGCTAAATGCCAGCCTCGCCTCATCAGTGACAGCTCATTGCCACCGGAGCTGCAGGGGTGGGCTGGGAGCTGTCGGAGCTGGGAAGGGGTCGGAGCTGCCGAGGGACAACTCCTACCCCTGTGCTGGTCAACCCCTGGCTCCAGCCCACAGCGCGTGCGGTGCCGAAACGAGTGGGAGCTTCAAGCAAACCCAAAAGAGGAAGCCCCACCAGATGCAGGCTGAAAACTCACCGAGCTGAATAAAAACGGGAAAAGGAAGCTGCAGTAAAGGCACTGCCAGAACCAGACACAAAATCCTCGTATGCAAAAGCCCAGTCCCACTTGACGTAAACCACAGCAAGCGGTTCTGCAAACCCGGGACCCTCCGGCCATCCCCACTGGGCCGATCTCTGCCTGCGTTACTGCTGCCTCCGACGGCGCTGCAGCGGGGCTCAATCCGGCCGGGAATGCCGCCTGTTCCAGTTTTGGTTTGTGGTTTCTTGCAACAGCTCCTCCTCTCCGGGGAACGGGGTTCATGTCCCATTTAGGTCACGCGTAATCTGAATTTGGCAGCTTTGCACGGGCCTCGGGGCAGCGGGGGGAGGCTTCACCATGAAACTACCGCATTCTTCAGACCGGGAGAACAACGGGGCTGAAAAGCCCACGGGAGGGGGGATTATGCAGCGAGCCAGAAAATAAAGTAAAATAATAATCCCATGTGCAAAAACCCATCATCATTAACATCCATCATTAACATCTCCCCCTGTCCCCAGCCCAGCAGCTGCCAGCAAACAAGACCTCAAATTCCCTCTGCCCCCCAGCTGCAGTGCCCCCCAACCCTGGCGTTCGGCCCCCCCA